TTCACACCACAAGAGGCTCCACCGTGTCCTTCCCGGGCACCAACACAGCAACACCAGGGGGCCCACTTCAAGGAAAGAAGAAACTAGACACTTTGGCAAATGCTCCTGCTTTTTCTACCCCCTCTACTGTGTTCTTCCTCAGAAACTGCACTAGGTGGCCCCTGAGGTCATTCCCTGGGCGGCAGACACCCAGCAGACACCTGGCTAGGCTGCTGCTAGACAACACGCGACCCCATCAAGAAGGGGTACAATAGGCTGATGTCGGAAGACAAAGGGCTTTCAGAAGCAATAATCTTTGTACCAAGCTTTACGGTTTTCACCATCCCCAGACACACCGATGGCCCTGGGTGTGTTACTTCATCCTTCAGCCTCAACAAGCGTCTTCTCTCAATGTGCTTGGTGAAAGCCTGTTCCCTTGCTACCCATGCAGCCATCTCAGCAAGGACTCAAGTTTTCCCCAAAACTATTCCCGCAGCCCCCGAGCCCAAGCTGAATGCTCCCCGGTGACCTACAGAGTGGACGAACCCATCCATTTTGGCCAAATGTCCCCAAACTATACACAGGGAGATCCAGCAGGTTCCTTGACGATGCCTTAAATCAAAAACTCATCTCACAACTGGCATCTCATTGCAACATCACCACCGCCGCCACCACCCCTTCCTCCCCATCACACACCTCTGCAGCTAGCTGCCCCCCTCTCTTGCCCCAGCCTGAGCCTAGAGATACATTCTACTTCTTCCTCACTCGGCTCTCACACCACACATATACCCAAGCATGTCCCAGCTTCCAACCACCCACTTCTTAGACAGGGCCTAGCCATATTGCTGTCTGCTTTTCAGCCAGGAATAGGTCATAATCGTAGTGGCAGGGGTGCAATGTAAAAGGGTGATGCCTTTGAAACTCTTGACATGTTTGAGAGCACCATCGGTGAGCTGGGCAAGAATGTGCTATGGTATCGACCTCCTGGTAAGCGGCCCCTGGAAACAGCCAGGCAGAACGACATGGTGTGATCTCAATTCAGTCACCTAAGTCTTGCTCCAGCTCTACCTCCCACCTTGGAATGAGGCTCTTTAGCTTTGGTTGGCTGGAGCTGGCCCCATGCTCTCCTCAGACAGCAAGCCAGACCTGAGCCACAGCAAAGCTCTCAGTCCCAGACTCTGCAAGCAAGAGAAGAAGCCTGGGGCACCTGGGTGGCTCCACCGGTTAAGCATCAGACTTCAGCTCAGGTCATGATCTCGCAGCTCACGGGTTTGAGCCCCGCCCGGGGCTCTCTGCTGTCAGCATGGAGCCTGCTTCGGATCCTCTGTCCCCCTCTCTCTCTGTCCTTCCCTTGCTTGTGCACTCTCTCACTCAAAAATAAATAAACATTGTTAAAAAAGAAGAGAGGAAGCCTGCTCAGCCCTGGGTTTGGACAGTGAGCAGCCCCATCCTGACCTGCTCTCTCCTCTCAGCACCTAACACTATCCTGCACATCCCTGGGCACAGAGGGGGAATGGCCTTCAGGAAAACACCAAGTCCCCAGGAAAAAAAAGCTGCAGCAGAAATAGTGTGAAGAAGCAGGTGCTTCTTCCCAGCCACAGGCACATGCCCAGGAGACTGCCCAGGGTCAGAGGCAGCTCTACCACTCTAGCTGTTTGACCCCCACGAAATGTTATTACTACATGTGTAAAAGAGGAGGAGTAATGTTCACCTCACACACTTGTCGTGAGAGTTACAAGAATTAATTCCCATCAGGTACCCAGAACGCTTTCTGACCTATTTATAAACACTCCGTCAGCCTTATGATTTTTTTTTTTTTTTTAAAGAGAAAGCGTGTGCAAGCAAAGAGAAAGGGGCAGAGCTGGCAGGGCGGGGAGGGCGAGAGGGAGAGGGAGAGAGAGAGAATCTCAAGTGGACTCCACACTCAGTGCACAGCCCGAAGTAGGTCTCAATCCCACTACTCTGGGATTACAACCAGAGCTAAAATCAAGAGTCAGACGCTCAACCAACTGAGCCACCCGGGCACCCCAGCTTTATCATTTTTTAATTTTCAATTTAATTATTATTACTTCTAGAATCCAGAGAAGAGCCCCTCAAACAAATGGCCTCCAAATCTCCTGTGTAAAATCCTAACTTCTGTCCTCCTCATGTGGTGAGAGCCACACCTCCCTCTCTGCCATCCTCTTCCAGAACATCACACAGCTCTGAGCACACAGCCTTGCCCGGCAGCATCTGCCGAAGTGGTCCAGAATGATTCCAGGTGCCCCCTCACACCCATGAACTTCTGGGTGTCCTTGCTAAGTGCGGCATGAGGATTTATACGGTCCTGCCATCTAAGGAAGCCCCTCCCCCCCAAAAAAGCACCAATTCAACTTTGGAAAACAAGACAATGATGGCGAACAGAGCCATGTGGACAAATCCAAAGTGTCCTTGCTTGACTTGGAGAAGTCACGTGGCTGTCTCCTTGCAGGAAAAGCCCATTCAGGACTGAAACTAATGCCCCAGGAACCAGAGGGCAGCAATACAGAGCCCCTCCACTTCCACATACCTATCACCAGGCGAGTTGTCGCAGCAGGATGGGGCCAAGGCTATGCAGATGCCACCTTCACAGCTGCTTCCCCAGTCAGACACACAGGCTGGAGGATTCCAGAAGGAAGTGCGAGTGCCCACACCCTGCATCAGTAACAAAAACGGAGCCCGCCAGTGTCAAGGCCCCACATTTGTACAGACAGGCACCCGAGCATTTACAGAGGCCTGCAAGCCCTTCTCACGTGATGTAAGATGCCAGAAACAGCCACGGTTCCCGTTGCTCAAGAATTCTTAGAGCAAGACCACAGGGGCCCACACCTCTCTCTTCCACACAGGGGATGCTACAGGGCAGGTCAGCCTTCAGCATGAGGGGGTACTCTTACAAAGCAGCCACAAGACAACCGCCCCCAAGAAGGGGCCGCTCTCCCCTTCCCATGCGCCTTTATAAGGGCTCCTGGCACGCTCCAGCATTTGCATGAAGCAAACATGGGGAGAGACAAAGCAGCGGCAGTGAACTTCCCAGCCACACGCCAGCTTCTAGATCAGCCCAGTAAGGCCAGGAACATGAAATCCTGGGCCCCGGTTCTGAGAGGCATCCTTGCTTGCTAATAAGAACTTGACTTCAACCCTGCTGAACCCTCAGACCACATGACAGCTCCTAAGAGGTGCCAGTTAAATATGTTCAACTGAAAAACTGCAACTCGTAGAACCCAAGGCTTTGCCATTTTTATTCAAAAATGTTTACTTCTTGTTTCCCTATTAAATATAAGCAACTTCCCCCTTGTATATATTTGCACCACATCCACACAATGTGTTCCCCATCAACATTTGAATTATGGGCACAGGCTTTGAAATGTTAGTTTTGTGCTAAGATAAATATTGGAATAATATTCACTCTGCTTTTTTGAAGTAGTCGACAACACCATTTGCGATTGAAGACGAAGGCACCGTTTGCTTTGCGAAGTAACAGAAGGATAACAAGCAGTGCTCTCGGGGGAAAGGGATCACCAAGGCCTCTGCAACACTTGTATCTCCTGATAAAGAAGCAGCACAGCTTCCGTGAGGGTAGAAGGCAAATGCCCTGAGCCTCTGAGCCTGGCCTGGTGAGGATGGCAGTGTTCACGGCGTGACTGGCCCCTGCCACCATCTGCCCCAGCCCCCATGGCAGAACCCAGCCTGGGTTTCCCGGTGACTTTACCTGGGGCTCCACAAAGAAAGAAACACAAGAAGTGGGGTAATGGAGGACTTACATAGACAAGGCCCCTCTCCAGTTCCTGTGTGGCCCACACTGGCTGCAAAATGGACATGCAGTGGTCCTCCGTTCACATGCCCCTGCTCCTCCCACAAGTGGTTCACCAGGGGGCCTGCCTCTGTGGCCTGCAGGGACAGCTCAGAAACACAGCACCCTCGGCTCGCCGTGCAAGATGCACACAAAGGCCATACCTGGGGAAGCCCCAGGACTCAAATCCAGGCCCCCCACAGGCAGCAGCCCAGCCCGGGTTCCGGCAATCCTGGCCACGCTGGTCATTTTGAGCTCAGAGGGATGCCTGGCTTGAGCCAAGAAGCTTCTCCTTCTGCAGGTGATAGCACTCTGGCTGTGATGATTCAACCAACCAGGCAGCACTTTGCTGAGCCCTCTCACCTGGATTCTTTCTCTCCCGGGCATCATGAGCCAATCCTGGGAGGGATTCAGGGCAGGTGTTGGGATCCCCATTTCACAGGTCTGGAAACTGAGGCTGAGAGAGCCTTACCTAAGATCAAGTGGCTGATGACAGAGATCTCACAGCCCTCTCCCCAGTCTGTGCTTCATATCTGCTCGAGGGATCTGTGTTTAAGAACTGCATCGCTGGCACCTAACCTCCGTGCTCTGGGACATCCGAAAACCCGGGGCCAGGGTCTGTCATGACCAGCCTTTCTTATAGCCTCTCAGCACCCGAGTTCCCTGAACTGTAAAATAAGGGCACTGCCCTGACAATCATTATGATTGCTACTGCCACCAGAAATATCAGGACTTCATGATCCCTTACAAACCTAGCTTTCTCTCTTACTGTGACCTTCCTTTGAAATTAGAGAGCTAGGCCGAGCTGAGAGCTATGGATCACCTATAGAGAGCGCCTGCTACCCTGGCCCCTTCTTCTAGAAGCCCCCTCAATGCTCCCAGCCTGGTGGCCTGCACCCCCAGAAACTCAACCAACAAGGCAGGGCAGAGCAGAGGCAGGCTGTGAATGACCGGGCGAATGAGCTGGTAGCTTCTCCCCGCCCTACAGAACACACTCGTTTCCCTGTGGGAAAAATGTGACGAGGCTGGATCTACCATGAAGAGCATTAGGTTATGATAATTTGAGCTCCATGCAATTATTCCTATTAAATGCATGGGCAGAACACCGTAGCTGGTGGGCTGGATTCTTGTTAAGAAAAATAAGTGGCTTTATATTTCAAACTGGAAGACATCTCTAACCCAAGGATCCTAATGAATCAAGTAACTTTAGACCTTTTCTTCTTCGGCTGTGCTTTACTCACAAAAGAAATGTGCCTCGTTTACCAGGATTCCAGGCCCATCCTGGTCATGTGCTCAGCCGAACCCAGCTAATTAAATTAAGCCACAGCCACCTCTTTCCTAACCAGGAGAGAGGGGGCCCATAAATTATGCTGCCCTGAGCTCCCCACAAATTGCCTCTCCCCGAAGAGGGCTTCGCCATTTGAGAAAACGCATCCAAGGCGGTGCGTGGCGGCGAGGCCCTGGTAATTGGCCGTCCCTTTGGCGCGGCCTCTCCCACTCACCCGCCAGTGGAGAAATAATGAGCTGCCAAAGCTTGGGGAGGCTCGGCAAACAGAGTGAGGAAAAGGGCTTGTGCTCCAGAACCCAGGCTAGCCGGCCAGTCTTGCTCCAGCCAGCCCAGGGTGGTAGGGAAGCAGTGGGGCAGGAAGGTCTGGAACCTTCTCCTGGGTGTGTCCCTGCTGTTCCATCTTGGACGTACTTCTCCTAGCACACAAGCCACACTAGCAGGTAGTCAGCGGGAGAGGGGGCGGTCAGTAGGTCCTGTGGGTGCTGCACGTTGCCGAGCCCCCGGGGTGCCATGTGTGATCAGTTGTGTCTGTGAACCCCGGGGGGGGGTCCCACCTCTGAAGAGTAAATAGACCAGGCAAGCCTCCCTGGAGGAAGAGGAGGAAAGGAATGACTCTTGGAACTCCCACACAGTAACCTAGAGAGGGCCCTCCTTTGGGGCTCCTTCACTCAGGTCTCCCTGATCTTTCTGACAACAGCCAGAGTGGGGGACGAAGCAGGGAGAGTTGTTTCAGACAATGTGTCTGCCTCTCCGCCCAAAGCAAAGGAAAAATCTCTCCATCATTGTAGCAATGGGAGTGGCCCCCATCCTGTGTGGGAAGTCCCCCCTGGTATGAAGCGGGGAGCAAGAGATTCAGGGCAGGGAAAGTAAAAATGCAGGCAGGCCTGGGATGGGAAGTTTGCAGAGCGCTAATCCCCCCGCACCAAGGGACTGATTTTAACAAGGCAGGTTGTTTCAGAGGCGCTCCGGGTTGACTCACATGTGCTGTTGTGGCAGGCTCTTGTGCTTTGTTCTGCGTTCAGAATTTTCTTATTCCGGGATTTCTGATCCAAAAATGTGCTTTGAAAGCCAGCCCCGTTTTGGACAACTCCTCAATTTAAAGGGCACTTTCTATACGTCACTTCTCTGCACGAGGCTGCCACTCACAAAGGCAGGGTGGAGAGGGGGGATTCGGGGCTAACTCCCAATGCCCATCTGCCCCTGCTCCCAGCTGAGCTGGGGCAAGGACCCTGGGGGGAGAGGCAGCACGCCTGGACCAGGGAAAGGCTGCGTAATTGGGCTCTACAGCTAGGAAAGCCCAGCGGGTCACAGGGGAACCCAGGCAGGTCCCTCCCCACGGCTCTCACTGGATGGACAATAGCTATAATAGCTGGCATTACTGAGCACCAGGCGGCAGGCACCCAGCCAGGCACTTTACACGCACCATTTCATTTCGTGCTCACAGCAGCTCTGAGGAGGGCACCATTACCCCTCTTACAAACAAAGAAACTGAGGCCTGGAGGAGCTGAGGAGGGTGCCCAGGTCCCACAGCCGACCACCGATGGAGCTGGGTTTCCAACGTGGTGCTGACTCCCAAGCGCCCGTCCCTCAGCACCCCCTGCCTCTCGGGCTGTGCTCGCATCTGCTCCACCCCGCGAAGGGGCACTGGGAAGCACTGGGTGCAGGGAGATGGCTGGGCTGGGCTGGCGGAACTGGTGAGCCCAGGAAAGGAAACCCAAGTGTGGGTCTCCCTGCTTGCTGGGTAAGCCAGTCCTGGCATGTGACTGGGCGTTGGACGCCCAGGTATGCTGGGGATACAGCTGCCACTGTCCCTCACCAGATCCCCAGTCAGGGAGCAGTTAGGAGACCTTTCCTGGAGCCTGAGGGGCAGCGTCTGGGGTCGTGCCAGAAGCGGCTGGGACCTCAGAAAGCCACTTCTCTCTGCACCACTCGACCATGTCTGCCAGACTGCAGGAGCAGGAGGCAGCCGGCTGGGCCACTTTCTGAGTCACAGAGGGGTGTGGGTGACGCCGGAAAGCCGAGCTGAAAATTGACCTTCTCCCTGAGGTCACTGCCAACACAGTGCTGGTCACGTGGCAAGCATCTGCCAATGGCTTAAGCCGCTTCAAAGGGGGAGAGGGCAACTAGATGGGCATGTGATGTCACCAGCATTGGAAAATCCACCAGTCCCCTCCTCCAGCAAGAAGGGCCAGGGCACCACGTCCCCAGCAAAGCCAGTACCACGTGACAAAGGCCAACCCCAAGAGCAGGGACCCATCCACCCGGTCTCAGTCACTAGCACACTGGGATGGGGTGGCCACACCTTCCCCAACAGGCCTCACTTCTCTCAAACCCCCCCCCCCCCGCCCCGCCCCGAGGTAAACACAAGCTTGACTGGCACTCACTTTGAAATCTGAATCTCTTGAGATGGAAACCCAGGGTTGTAAGCGATCAGACTTTGTTAATTTTGCCAGGCATCACCCACAGGACTGAGCACGGTTCTCAGGGTGTGGCCGCCATCAGCCAAACCAGCCACATCTGCTTGCATTTCATCACCAACATGGTAAAGTTTGACTTTCAGCTGACCTTGAAATTCACAAACTCCAGCAGGGGAGGGCTGGCAGTGGGGGATAGGAGTCAAGTGAAAGCCGCTAAAAGGAAGCAGAAATAAAACAAGCTGGGGTTGCCCTGTGCCCCCCAAAATTAAAACCAAATGAGCATATCAAAGGGCACTTTTCCCAGCTATTTTGGCTCCAACACTCCTCAGCTTTAATCAAGTCTCTGGGAGAGAAAGCTTCAAGTGGCTGTAATTTCCTACCTGCCTTCACCTGCAATGCTTAGACCTGAATCTGGGAGTTATTTGGGGCTGATTTCCCCTAATGCACAAACCCTTCCATGATGCCTTCTCCCTAAGCTGAGACTGGCTCCCTAGGCCCTGGCAAAGGATGTCTGCTGGCCTGGGCTTTCCTGGCCTTGAGGAAGGCAGCAGCATGAGAGGCAGGAGTTCATTTACCTCTAGGGCATATGGAAGATCTGGAAGGAGAGTCCCTCCATGTAAGCCCAGGCTCTGACAGACCAGGTCCCTTGGACAAAGAGCTGGTGGGTTGCCCCAGGCCACAGCTGGTAGGCTGGAGTGCTAGGAGAAGATGCAGCTCCATCTGGGCTGTTCCATGATGCCTCTGGGGGCCTTTCCAGCTCTGGCATTCACACATCTACTCCCAAGACTTCCATGACATTTGCTCCTGGGGCATCTCCCCTAGAGAAATCACAGCATCTGTGCTCTGCACTGAGGCCTTAGAGTCCCAGAACAGAGAGCAAGCAGATGAGAAGAGGAAGCTAGAACAAGTCAGAAGCACCATGTTCCAAGCTCCCCTGCCCCACCTACGAGAAGGAAGAGCTATGAGCACTTCCTTAGGGTCTACTGTGTACCCAGTGCTTTTATCTGATTCCATCTCCCACAAGCCTCTGAGATAGGAACTCAGATGAATCCCATTTTACAGATTCACTCAACTACTGTATGATTGCTCACCATGTGTCAGGCACTGGAGGAAACGGCTGGCGGCTTAGTGAGGCGGCCGTGAGGTCCTGCTTCAAGTTGGAATATAACCTCAAGCATACCACTGTCTTTTGTGGGTAGAATCCCACAAATACTCCATTTTTTCTTCCTGGATTTGTCATTCTTCATCTTCGAAGCTACCTTTTTGACACTGTATTCTAGGAAGCATGGACTGTGAACAAAGAACTCATGACAGAGGCTTGCGCACTCCCTGGCCACAGTGGGACTCTATGTCTAGCTGTACTGGGCTGGCAGTGGGGACAGCTATCCTGCCCCAGAGCACAGGCTCTTGTGGGGACCCATGTCAAGTCTGCTTTGTGTCCAGGTGGCCAACACTGCAAGAGCCCCCACAAGGACCGCATACGGGGGCTGGGGGGGGGGGGGCATGTGTTGCCTCAGAGCCACAGCTCAAAGCCCCATCTGCAGGAAAACCCAGCCCCAGCCCAGTACCCTTAAAGCTGGAGGGCAAAGCAGCAAGCCTAGCCCCAAAGGACCTGAGCCTTCGTGGCCCTGCTCTGCCGATTCCCTTCCTCCTCCCCTTATGCACACAGTCCTTCCTCCCCCCAGGTGGGACATCTTAAACCCTCCTCACAGAAGAAGCAACACCCACAACAATCAAGTGATGTAGACTCTTGATGTTATTCTAATCCTACAGAGTTCTTACTCCTGACCCCAAATCTCGGCTACCTCCAACATGCAGTCCTGGCGGCAGAAGGACCACAGACTCTGGGGCCAGAATGTCTGGATTCAAATTCTGCTCTGACCTTCACCTTTCTGAGGGTCTGTTCCCTCGTGTGTGAAATGGGGAAACTGACAGGGTGGTGGGGTTGGGTGGGCCAAGCCTCCTGCCTCGGAGAAGGGCTGGGAGAGGGCAGGTTACAACAGGTGCGCAAGAAAGTTAGGGCACCTTCCTTGTGAAGGAAGGACGGGCAAAGCACGTGCAGGGCCAGACCTACCAGGGAGGCTTGGTATGGCACATGCTCGGTGCACCCTTTAGCCCCAAAGGGGTGAGAACACCACCAAGGAAGAGAAAGGTGTGAGACAGACTAGCAACAAACATTAATTAAGCAGTTACCAAAAACAGGTGAGAGGACAGAGGAGAAACCAAATGTGTAGAGCTATGGTGCCCAGAGCTCAGGGGGCCTCCCTGTCCCACGCGGCCTTGGACTCTACCCTGAGGTTCATTTCCATGACCCTAGGGCACTGCCTGTCTCCCAGTGAAGCCAACTTGTGTCTCCAGGCACAGGACCCAGTAGCTGTTTCTACATACTGGGTCACCTCTGCCCAGTCCCAAACAACCCCCTGCCACACTCAGGGAACACTTGTGTGCACTCTAGGCCCTTCCCTGGATGCTCACGATCCTGAGGCTGCATGGGTTAGGGATGGAGGTGAGGATATGGTGGCAAGCAGGTCCTGTTGGTCAAGAAAACTCTTTAAAACCCGTAAATGAAATAAACTTTAAAAAAAAAAACCCGGGGCGCCTGGGTGGCGCAGTCGGTTAAGCGTCCGACTTCAGCCAGGTCTCGATCTCGCAGTCCGTGAGTTCGAGCCCCGCGTCGGGCTCTGGGCAGATGGCTCGCAGCCTGGAGCCTGTTTCCGATTCTGTGTCTCCCTCTCTCTCTGCCCCTCCCCCGTTCATACTCTGTCTCTCTCTGTCCCAAAAATAAATAAAAACGTTAAAAAAAATTTTTTTTTAAATAAAAAAATAAAAAATAAAAAAACCCACTTGACAGGGGTGCCTGGATGGCTCAGTCAGTTGAGCATCCAACTTTGGCTCAGGTCATGATCTTGCACTTCATGAGTTCGAGCCCTGCACAGGCTTCTCTGCTGTCAGCTCAGAGCCCACTTCGGATCCTCTGTCCCCCTCTCTCTCTGCCCCTCCTGCACTTGCACTGTCTCAAAAATAAATAAGCATTAAAAAAAAAAACCAAACAGGAGGTCTCACATACACAGGACTACCACTCCCTGGTCAGGGGAGTCATTATAGGCCCCCCAGGGTGGCTGGACATCTTTGAGCCCACAAGGATGTGACACTGCAGAGTAACCCAGAAGAGGTAGAAGCTAGTGAACCCCCTGCAAAGCATGGCCCCTGTGACCCGAAGCAGAGCCATGCAAGACATGGAACAGTCCTAGCTCAGGTTTGAACCCAAAGCCTGGCACTTACCAGCTGCCAGTAAGGCCCTGAGTCACAGCTTCTTCCCTAGAGACTACCTCTGGGGGGAGGGGGGCGGGTGCACAGGTTTCCTACGAGAAATGGAGGGGAGGAAAGGATCCCCAGGTGGATGCTGCAGGACCTTTCTCCTGTACCCAAGTCCTCCACTGCCAAAAGTCTTCCTGGGGGCAAAAAGTCCCTGGATCCAGAGTGTGATGCTGAATGATCCCGGAGCTAGGACAGTTCCCCTTTATAGGGTGAGCAAACGTCAAACCAAAGGTCCTTATGTGGGCTCCCTAATGGTGGGCACCAAGGGTGGGGAGATTCCAGGGAGGGAAGGGAGCCGGTGCATCCCTCTGTGATGAGGACCAGGAGGAGCATCTTTGCCCAGGTGTGGCCAGGACAGTGTTCTTGCTTTGATTAGATTCCCCTGGGGGAGGGAGGAGGAAATGAGCTCTCTCCCGTCTGCCCCCCAGAAACAAGGCTGCACCTGCCAGGACCTACATCCTCCAGGCTGTAAACCAAGGCCCGATCCGCCACACAGCAGAGAGCATGCTGCCCACATCTCCACTCCATGCAAGGGCTTCTTGACAGTTATTGGCAGGGCCTCTATTACCCAAGGACGGGCTGGGGGAGGGGAAGAAGGAAGAAAAGCCAATTTTGTTTCCCGGAGAGAAACGAGATTGCTGCTGACAGCTGTCCGTAGGAAAGCGGAGGCTCGTGCCCACGTAATCTAAACTCGAGCGGCCCAGGTCTCCCCTCAACCCAGAAATGAGCTTGTTAGAAGAGTCTGGATCCCGGCCGTTTCCCTTGACAGCTTCCTTCCCCTAATACACACAGCAAATTGGCAACCTGTCCTCGGGCATTTGCATCCGGAGTCCCTGGAGGGAGATATCTCTATTATTCTGTTTTGGATAAAGGAGGCCGTTTGAGATGACAGGTAGCAAACGCCTCTTTAATAAAGCATACAAGCAGCCACAGAGAGCCAGGCAGTGGAGAGAGGCTTGACAAATCGGTAGATTTGCAACCCAGGAGCATTAGCAGGGCCAGCCGGAGCAGTGAGCAAGGGAATGTTGGGGCTGCGGGCTAAATCACCCCTTGTTATTCTGATTTAACCGTCTCATGGCTGAAGCCCCTGCCCACACCCCTCGGAAAGGCAGACTCAGAACATGGACACGCAAACGGCTTTGTGGCCCAGCATGTGCAAGCTGCAACTTGATCCCGTGAGTTCATCGCCTGCCGTGGTGTGGCACAACTTCCTTCTAGCAGTTCACAGATCTTTCAAGAACGGTCCCTAGCCTTCCCTCATCTTTAGCCTGGTCTCCGCTGTCTTTTTTTTTTTTTTTTTTTTTTTGCAGTAACCTCAATTTTAAGAGAAATAAACATTTACTCAGCATTAACCATGTCTCACCCCAAGTGTCGCCCTAAGTCACAGGAACTCGTGCCTTCCCCTCTCGTGTAATTTCCCTTCATGCAACTATTTACTCCACTGCACAAACAGCTTCCCATTCAATTCTCCTTAGCTCTAGCTTCTCCTCCGTCCCGAATCTGAAGGAGCCAAGCCTAGGGTGTTGGGCTCTGTCCAACGATGCACTGGCAAATATTTAACAGCCAGCTCTCTGAGAAAATAAATAAAAATCTGATTTGTGGTGTTTGCCAATTTCTGTGGTGTCAATACGCACACTGGGGCTGACTCCAAGCTTCCAAGGGGGTGTCACTGAAGTCAGTTGGGAGGAACCACACCAAGAACTCCACAGCTCAGACCACTGAAATCACGGCTCGTCGCTGGAGAATACCTATGTGACTTGGAACATTCCATAACTATGCTGCACCTTACCTTCCACGAAGATGGAAATGCTAGGTCATGAGGAAGCAGAGGGCTGAGGCCACATGTGGCACCAGTAAATACCCGATAATGTTGGCAATTA